CGAGAGAATGCAGCACTCAAGAAGCAATTACAGGAGAAGTAAGTGGAAATACTGTATATTCAAAAAGAAAAACTCTTCATTTAATTGAGTTGTGTATTTGAAGGCAGCACTGTGGTTTGTTTGTGTGGAGTTTGTATACACTCTGACTTTCTCCCCGGTTACTTAGAACATGAATGGGCTTATTCAAAACTCAAAATTATCCATGTCTGAAAGCGCGCTCTTAGTAAAACAGAGCATCTAAAGCAAAGATCTTTTGAAATTTTTTTTAAGTAGCGCAGACCTGTTGCCACAAGCGGTCCATAGGAGGTCGTAAGCAACCACCAAGTTACTTTGACGCCACCCGTCCCACCCACCACCTCCACTTGAGTCACCAATCTGGAAACAAACATTTTTTTTTAATGTATTTTTTATTTTCTTTTTTTAACTACCAATCATCAATCACTTATGTTCCACCAAGTGACAACACAACAATGTTTTCAGTGCATGGGAGCGACATTGTAAATTGTGAGAGGTCGTTTCAGGGGGGCGGAAATGATTAGTAAGCTAGTGTTTCTCTCAAAGAACCTGGAAACCGTTGCACCGATGTACTCAAGCATGCATCTACACAGTTGTTTGCAGGGTAATAATAACAATTATTTAGTTCATTTCTTCACATTTATAAATAATCGTAATAGAATTCCCCCGTCCCCCTCCCCATGCAAATCATATCCCCCCCAAAGGCTGAGGTGTGAGGACAGGTCTGCTGTCGCTTTATATTGTACTTTGTTAGATTATGCGGGTTTATCTAATGTTGTGGCCAGTCAGGTCATCTAAGAAATGCATTCGTATCCTATTTTGAAGTGACACTTAACTAAGCCTCATTTTAATGCAGAATGAATTTGCAGGGGTATTTCCAGCCATCTATCTCCTCACAGGTCCATTCAGGTGAATCCCAAAATCGAAGCGAAAGAAGAGGACAGCACAACTTTGCAAAAAACCCGAGATGCCCATCTGGAAGAAGAAGCGCAACGCTTGAAGGAGGAGGTGGAGAAACTGAGGGTGGAGATGGAGAAGCTGGAAGAGTCACAGAAACTGTGGGAGGAGAGGAAGGAAGACGACGACAAGGAGGAGGAGGGGGAGCAGGAGAAAAAGAAGAAGCCCGAGAATGGGGATGAGAGGAGGAGAAAAGAGCTGGAAGAGATCAGGAAGGAGCACAAGAGGGAGATTCAGAATTTGGTGTCTGAATACAGCAACGCTCAGATGCAACTGCAGGCTCGCATCGTAGCCCTGGAGAATGAGTAAGTACTGAAGGTGTGACATGAACATGACAACATAATGATGCTATTAAGATGACAGCATACGCGACGATGGTTGCACCAGGTTGCGCGAACGGGAGGAGCGATGCAGGAGGAGAGAACCGCGATGCGACGACCTCCAGTTAGGGAAACTTCAGGAGAGGCTGACGGAACGAGACCAGCTCATTAAACGATTAGTGGTACAACTGCGCACGCACGCACACACGCACACACACACGCACACACACACACACACACACACACACACACACACACACACACACACACACACACACGCGGTTCCAACTCCAAAGTGACAACCACAAGATGTATTCTGTTGTGTGTGTTGTGTCGCTGACCCACTTGGCCGAGTGGAGATTGTAACAGCAAAATGTGATAGATTCCTTGATTAGCACCTTGATGTGGTACTCAACTGACTCATACCCAAACCCTCTAGAGCAGGGATGGGCAACTTCAATGCGAGAACGGGCCACAATTTTTCATCAGTGCTGCCAGGAGGCCACATAGAGACACGCGCTTCCTATAATCAGATATGTGACAAAAAAAAAAAAAAACTATTTCAAATATGGACAAAATACCTACAAAGTATATGCTCTTCATATATTTTATGTTTGATCATGCATTTTTCAATGCATGTAGATAAGATTCACTGTCCACACATAGACAAGCAACCATTTGCGCTCACGATCACACCTTAGGGTCAATTTGGAGTGCCCAATCAACCTGCCATGCATGTTTTTGGAATGTGGGAGGAAATCGGAGTACCCGGAGAAAACCCTCGCGGGAGAACATGCAAACTTAACACAAGTAGGCCAGAGCTGGAATCGAAACCCTGCATCTCTGCCCTGTGCGGCCGACATGCTAACCAGATGACCACCCTGCCTCCCTACTTATGATTAATAATAATATATTTTCATTTGTGTATCCTCCAAATGACTATTTTTCGATGCACCTTCTGGTATGAGGCAAGCAAGGAAACAAATCAGACTTCCAGACAACACCAACTGTGAACAAGCTCCTTCTTCATGCTCGTTCCCTCCCTCTAGGAAGAACGGCATCAGCTGCAGCTACACCCCCCTGCTGTCGGGGAGAACAGCGGCCTCAGGCTCCGGGAGAACAAGTCCCGCCCTGGGAGCACCACGCCAACCATGAGGGTGAGTGTGCGTGTGTGCGTCCTGCATATAATGAGTTCATCAAAATGTACTCCTTCCTGCCAGAAGGGAATGTTGGACTCAAGCCAAGTTCTGTTTCTGCTGCACAGGCGCTAAAATGTCCAATCTGGGTGCCTGTGAGTGTGTGTGTGTGTGGAAATGTTCATTTCAAATTACACACTAATGTAGTACCGTTCAAATCATAAACTGTTTCTAGTAAATATATTTAACGACTTGAAAAACATGCAATAGTTTGACTCTTCATGTGAGGCTGCAAGCGAATGGGAATTTATTCACCAGGATTCACTTTGCCTTCAGAAAGAGCTGCGGTACAGACGCAGGATGACACAGGGCAATGAAACTATAAATAACATTTCTGAAGGGAAAGCTGCTTCTGTTTGACGAGCCATTAGCGAACCAGTGCTTTCAAATGATGTTGAAATCAGACGTAGTTAACATTGTAATAAAGACAATGGCCACTTTTCAAGTGGACGTCAAGTCTTCTGTTTTCTTTATTTCGTCATGTGATGTGTGCAAGCTGAGCCATGACTTGTCATTACCTGAGCCCTGAGCAACTGTAATGTAATTTTCAGTCAAAAGCAAGTGGCAAAATGCTCACCCCTGGAAGTGAAAGAAAATTAGTGGATTTTCCTTCTTAATTTATGTTCCACAAATGTCATACGAATCAGAATGTTTAGACTAGTGGTGGTGCATCAAACATATTATTGTGAAGAACATTTTGAACTTGACTGGTCAAGAGTAAATTTCTATCAGAGATGCCTTTATGTCTCCCCAAAGGTATTTTTGACGCTGATTTCCTAAATATCTTTTGTTTTTTCCTAGCACATCAGGTTTTTGAGATATTTTCATTTTGGTTTGTAAGCTTGCACAATATGGATTTTTTTTTTTTATTCATTCATTTTCCGATCTGCTTATCCTCACAAGGGTTACGGGGGGTGCTGGAGCCTCTCCAGGCTGTCTTCGGGCAGGAGGCGGGGGACACCCTGAACCGGTTGCCAGCCAATCATAGGGCACACAGACACGAACAACCATCCGCGCTCACACTCACACCAAGGGACAATTTAGCGCGTTTAATCAGCCTGCCATGCATGTTTTTGGAATGTGGGAGGAAACCGGAGTACCCGCAGAAAACCAACGCAGGCCCGGGGAGAACATGCAAACTTCACACAGGAAGCCCGGAGCCGGGATCGAACCCATGACCTCTGCACTGTGAGGTCGACGTGCTAACCACTGGATCACCGAGCCGCTGATATGGATTTTGTTTATACTAAATATATTATATTTTTATTCTATTATTATGAAAAACCTGATGTGCCAGAGAAAAAAACAAGGGAAGAATCAGAATCCCCACCCCCCAAAAATTGTGTGTGTGTGTGTGTGTATACACCTGTATGTGTAGAGAGAGAGAGATTCCTTGCATCTCTTGATTAATTCGAATGGAGTGTTTTGTTTGTTTGTGTGTGCAGAGAAAGCACGTGGAGTCTTCTCCTCGTGGAAGCAACATCTCCTGCTCCGGCGCTTACGACCGCCTCCCCCCCTACTCGCCGTCGTCCTTCTCTTCCACGTTGCCCCACCAGTCCACCTCCCACCCTCACACGTCTCCCCACTACTCCACCTCATCTCTTCCACACAAGCACACCTCGCTGTCTTTCAGCCAACATTCCCCGCCGCCCCTGCCTCGCTCGCCCAGATCCCGAAGCTCCTGCATTCCTCCCACGCCGGCGCCCACCGCGCCGCTGCCCGTCTGCCCTTCGCCGCAGACAGGCATTCGCTACGTGTCGCCCTCCTGCCAGGAGCCATATGCGTACTTGCAGGCGCAGTCAATCAGGTAGGATTTTAAAAAGATTTAAAAATATCGTTGTGTGAAGTCATCTGACAGCATCAGCGGCTGTTCATCTGCCGCGTCACACTCGTTTCCCAATATAACATTTGCAATTGTGCTATTAAACTACATTATTTATAACCTACCTTTGTAACAGGCAGCTTTGTTCCGGTGACTCGCTGAAGTTGGTTCACTTTGGAAAAAAAAAAAATTGCAGCCCTGTGCTCTTCTGCGCTAAATAAAGACACTAGAGGATGCAAAAATAGGTCAAACATTTACTTGAGTGAATACAGAAAGCAGTAATGTGAGGGGGTCAAATGTACGCATGTTTATACTGTAGTACTAATGAATGCAGCACAGCCAGAATGCCTAACACGAATTTTCATCCTGAGCCACATACAATTGCCCTTGCATTTGATTCTTATTGCAGCGGTGCCTCGAGATACGAGTGAATCGACTCCCGTTGTTCTTTGAGATACGAGCCGCTTTCAGCCCAGTTTTCTGCTTTTGAGTTGCGAGCAAAAATTCAGTAGAGGTACAAATGCTACATGGTGGCTGTGAGCGCAACTGACTTTACAAGCAGCAAACAGAGAGTGAACACATCTTCAAAAGATATTCAAGCTACTGTTTTAACACTTAATTCAATGATTTTTCTTTGAACATATTTTAAGTTTAAGCCATAAATATATTTTTTTCCAAATCACACTCAATTTATCAAGGCTTACATGTGATTAAATTTTGCATGAATGAACTTCAAGTGTGTGTGTGTGTGTGTGTGTGTGTGTGTGTGTGTGTGTGTACATGATGTGGGTGTATATGTATAATTGTGACGTACATAAACACAATCTACAGTCTTCAAGATGCTCACTGAGCTGAAGACTCCAATGTTTGATTTTATAGAAATTCTGGTTGAGAAAAATGGTCCAAATTGTACCGCTTCTGGGTCTCTGACTTCATGCAAGGCATTTTTATTCTTATGGTACATTTTACACAAAGCATAAAAGTCATCAACAGAATGTGAAATCAAAACAGAGCAATTTAAACAAGAGAAATTCAAAGTATCATATTCAACATGCATTTAAATCATGCTGAGAGAGGATGAAAATGAACTTAAAAAAATAAGATCAAAACAGAAATGGGATTAGACTGTAAAATAAGTTAAAATGCAGAGTATGCTTTAAATTTGACGAAAAGGCAGCAGCAAATACAAAGTGTTAATTAAAAATGAGAATTGGCGCAAATTTGCAGATTAGTGGTAGATACGTGGCAGAAAGACTTCCGAGGTTTACCCTTCCAATGTGGTCAGACACTGCGGATCTGCCCCAAAGGTTCTTGGCCTTCTGCACCACATTTTCGTGATAAAGTGTGCTGGAACTATAAACGGTCTTCCAAAAATACGACATTTGTTCCCCATCGTCAGTAGGGAATAGAAAATTAAAAAAAACAAAAACAAAAAAAAACATTGCTGATTTCTTTTTAAATGTAACACAAAAAAGGAAAAGAAGTGCAGATTTATCATATTTCCATTTTATTTCCATTAGACGAGCTGGGAAAAAAAAACAGCCAGAGGACTGACTTTTGATTTTGCGGGCTGAGCTTATGATGTCTCACATGGAAGATACTTTGTATTTTTGACGGGAGCCTGAAACATCGGTCTTTTGTCTTTTTCAACTGCCACTTGAAAATGGAACGAACTAATGATTCGATACACCGATTTTGAATTCCTAAACCTTTTGAAGTAACATATTGATTGACAGTATTCTGTGTAAATGTGTGTTTTAGGGGGGCTTACACGGAGCACAGAGGCACCGAGGGGCTAAAACAAGAGTGGTTCACCAAATACTTCTCCTTCTGAGCACAAACACAACCTTCCCAACAGTTCATTGCTTCTGTTCCACGTACTGGATGCGCGTCGCCACATTCACACAAACGCTCAACTGGGAGCTCCGCCGATTTTCCGCATAGTCAAAGACAAGGAAGAAGCTATAAAAGTGTATCGTCGTGCGGATGCGATGAAACGGCGATGTCATCGGATCACTGCTCGGAGCTCCACGCCAAGAGAGACTCCAGGCGCACTGTTGGTAATGTCGTACCGTGAAACAAGGTTGCATGGATTTGAAGGAAACTATGTTTATCTGGTTCTGTTGCATTGATGTGAATCCTTTTCGCTGAGTGGTGTGAAAATCAGTGGAGTGCTCTTACAACAGACTCGTGGGCTCATCACCAGCAAGGCCATCTCCAACATTGCCTCAAAGCTCAACCAAAAAGTGCTTCTCAGAACACATGCCTGACCTCTTCTCGGCCTCCTGGATCTTGTTTGTGTAGTCTGAAATGTCTCCGTGTGTGGTGTTTTTTTTTTTTTTTTAAACAGTCTTCCTTTTTCAGTGCAGCATTTGCTTCAATATGATCACATGGTTACCGAAGGCAACTCTCTGGATGTCTTCAACCAAGTGTCACTTCTACTATGGAGGCATTTGATGTATCCAATCAAGATCCTCATTAATAAGGATACACACTTTACACTTCCCATATCAAAATGAAGCTTGTTTTGATGCAAAAATGTACAATAGTCTTAATGAACAAATTGAATAAATATTTTGTTTTTGTACTCCACGATTCTCTGATGTTTTCTTATCACTTAAAAGCCAATAGTGCGTCTAACTGAACGGCTTTGATACGACACTAAGGAATTTCTAAGTTCAATTCAAGAATTTGATTTCCTGGTTTATTAAACAACAAAAACAAAAGTACTTATACACGCGTATACAGTATATGTAACTTATAGACAATAATGGCCAAAGCTCATTTTGTCCTGCTGCTGCATCACTATATTAATTACGACATAATTTTTAGATAATGCTCATTACTCATGAACGAACGAACAAACTAACTTGGGAAATATTGAAACGGTTAACACACGTCAATCAGTGTGTGCTGCCTCATTGTTGAATTTGCAACGGTACGAATACACACAATGTTTGGACAGAAAATGTACTTACTAGTTATGTGTGCTACTTAAACATGGGGCTTTTTTCGAGTGCTTCCATTGCAGAAGTGTACTGCAGGACGTTGTCGTGAAAACGTGTGAGCTCCTTCAATGCGTCTTTGCTGCTCCTGCCGCCCATTCCGCGGTACCTCATGGAGAGCAGTTTGGAGCACAAATAGTGGAGCCACAACACGTTGGAATGAGGGTGGTAGCTGTTCCAGTTGTTACTGCAACACACAAAACGACAGGAGCTCTATGAATGACTGTCTCCATAAATCAGATTTTATTCATAGTAAGGATGCCGACGTATCAACTCCCCTCTAAGCTCAACAGTATGACATGAATTGGTCATTCTACGCAGAAGACAAAGAATACATGACTGTGAGTAATGCTATGTCTGTCTCTATGTTGTTGCTGGACCATTTGTGTCCAACTCATTGCTTCAAGGGTTAAAGCAACACGGCATTAATGCTTATTAGTGTTAGCATTGAGCTAGCAGACTGAAGGGCTACGTTACATGGTTGTTTCAAACGTACAAGGTACAGCGCTCACATCTCAAGTCTGTTCTCCAAAGTCAAAGGAATAAATAAATAAATCGGTCGAATATTGATCATCGTTTATCAAAGTAAGAACCAATTAAGCAGAATTTACTTTGATTTAGCAATGATAATCAGACTGCTTCAATGAAAGACTAAAGAAATCTGACAACTTGGACAATTTTAAGTCCCTAAATGATTGATTATCAAAAGTAATTATCAATCATCAATCGATTAATCATTGCATCTCGAACTCATAGGTATATATGGCATCTCAGCTATACAATATATGGATTCAGCAGTGCATGTTGTTGTTATTTGTCCTTTGGCGGCACCACTTGCCATTTTGTGTTTGACGCTGCAAGGAAGTATGAGTTCTAATCTTGAGATACAGAAAATTGTCCTGTTGCCATGCCCATCCCATGGTGATGATAAAGTACAGGACTGTGACCTCCTCCAAAAACACATTGCCAAGACACAGTTAATTTTAAAAAATAAAAGAAAAAATACTGACCCATTTTCTTCTCTCATGTGTCTATAGATATCAAACTGGTAATCTCCTTGACCCATAAAGAGCTCCTCATCATTTGAAATGTCACAGGACACCGTTAGGCCATCTGGAAAGAACACAGCTCAGTCCATTTCCTTCAATTAAACAACAAAGACAAACAAAATCGCGCAGGAGGTGAGGTGATAGGTCAGGGGAAACGCCACTGACCAATTTCAAGTCTGGACAGAGAGTAGTCAATAATGCGGACCAACACCCCTTTAGTTTCCAAAGAGTGTGCTGCTCCGTTGAGCAGGAAGCTTCCAGTCTTCTGCTTTGTTGTTTTGACGAGCACATTGCCCCAGTGGAGGTCCCTTCAGAAAAAGAGTCAAAAGTAACAAATGACAAATCCAAAGCATTTAAACAATCCGCCTTCCAAGAGAACTCAAAGGAGTCTGAATTGTGGCAAGCAAATTTCCCCACAAGTCGCATTTGGTCAATAGTGTTTGTAAAAGGAGCAGAGGTGAGCACTCAGCCCCCAGCTACAGAGCTTTATTGAGTCATTATTCATTTCAATACGGCAAGGGCTTGTAAATAAATAATGGTGTAAATGTATCACCAAGGAAGAAATCAAATGCAGTCCAATATAGGAATACTGCCTACTATGTACAAATGACTAATGTTGAGAATATGCTCATTCAGTGTCATCCTGCATGTAGGCTATATGCACCACTCTATAGCAACTGGAGGGCCGGAAAAGAATAAATTATCCTAGCTTAAAAAGTCTTGCAGGACTATTAACCTACCCACTACGGCACTACAGAGCACTGAAATAGACTTCACACAAAGGACTTATTACACCGCTGGGCTCTCCTGAGAACTTAAGAGGGCTGGCCGAAAGAAGGATCAAAAGACGGGCCTTATCGGAGCATTTAAGTGTGTACCTGTGTTCAAAATTCAACTGCTGCTCAGCCACAGCCAGCGCGGCGGTCACTTGGTGGAGGATACTCTTTGCCACAGCCACTGACGACAACTACAGGACACAAGACATGTTGGAATTTTGAGATGGCAAAGAGTCACCTCATAATTTACGTGCCCAAAATCAAAGTGGAGTACCATTATATAGGTACAATAGGTACAATGAGACTGTTCGACATCACTAAACATGCAATCAAAAGTTTGGAGTGTTGAATACCGTTCCGTTGCTGTTCTCTAAGTCGACACCACCAAACTCAAACTCCAGAATGAGAAACAACTGGTCATTCTCAAATAAATCTACAGAACACAGAGAGAAGAAGCGGCATGAAAACCTGCAAAAAAATATCACCTATTCCTACCTTACAATACACAACAATAAGGTGAACCCCTGTTAAAATCGCAATTCAGTAAACCTCAACTCACTCATTTGGTGAACTGTGCAATCACACAAAAAGACACAAAGATTAGGGTAGGAGTAAAAAAGTGTTTTGTTTTTTTTACCCTATGGTCTCACTCTACTATAGATTTTTTGCACTTTTTGGACTTTACCCCAGGATAAACAGGGGGTCACTGTACGAAAAATGATCACTGAAATTACTCTTTTTTTAATTTTATTTCTTTTCAGTATGTTCATGTTTGCTGGATTCAATAGAATGAGAACACAACAAAAACCTGGTCTGTCGTTCTCAGAGCCCTTTTTCCTATCAAAGGTGTCCCAGGCATCCAGGAACTCAGGAGGGTAGCAGCCTCGGACACAGTGGAGACTACGTGGGAAGGAGACGAAGGTCAGCAGGCGCAGAGAGACCAGCAAGCATACGGATGTGAGAAAAGGAAGCAGAGAGAGCATTTACTCATGAAGTCCGATGAAGCAGCTGGTCTGGTTGTGATGCTTCTCTTTCAGGCTGCTCAGCTCCCTGGAACAAGACATGGTGGTTTACAAAACTGATGCTCAAACATTTCTACAAAACGAATGGAGGGTGGACATCATATATATGGATGGTATATTCATGCAACTCAAATGAATGGACAAATTACTTGGAGATAATAATCTCATGTAGGATCTCCCCGAACGTCTTCTGGTCTTCCCCATTCACCTTCTCACTGCCCTCCAGTGGAATGACCTGGAAGAAGAAAAAGAGATGGTTCATTCATTATTTCCAATATCAATTTCAAACACTTTTTCTAAAGTCTTTTCGAGCTTTTTGAATGACATGTAGCGGCACGAAATCCTTTGTTTACACATAAATCAGATGTTGATAGAAAGTTAAGGATAATGAGCTTGTGGGTAGAATTTCACTTCATTTGACCTTGGCTAAACTTGACAATGCACGGCAGATGTTCAGTGTTTCAGAACTTTTTGCACAACTTGCTGTTTTCCAATAAGGAGCTGAATGGCAAAACTGACAGTAAGTGTTTAATTGATGAATCAATCAGTACATTTCCTGGTTCAATGACAACTGGACCGAGTGTCTTATCCTGACAAAATACAGGACACTTTTATCCTGTTTTGAAAACATTTTATGTATTGCTTCGAGAAGGGCAATGCAAATTGCTCACTTGAGACGGACAGGCACCTTCACTGCGGCTTTCAAAGCAGCAGCGGTACAGTAGTGGCCAGCCTGAAGAAGAGCAATGACGATTTTCATGCTCTTAACACTTAGCGACCGCTATCGAATTTTTACCATCATTTGGAAAACTTCTTGAAAAACTTGTTTTTATTGAAGTCAATGAATTTTCATGACATTTTTGGTCGACTGCAATTGGCAAAAAGGCTGCTCCCTGAGATGGATAAAAACGGAGATTTTGCTGCTTAATGCATGTTCCACCAGTGCAATACTGTGTTGAGACTAGTGGTGGCACATAAACCATATTATTGTCAAGAAAATTTTGGACTTAACCTTTAACTAAATTACTAGCACAAGCTCAGAGGAAAATGGCCACTGAGTTTAGTTTCACAGTCATCAGCAAGTTGCAAGAAGTAGACTGGAAGAGTCACAGAAAGGCATGGAAGTCAATGTAACATTCTCCTTGAAACAATGAAGAGATGGACATGTGCTTTCAAAGGTTTTGAGGTTAAATTAAGTTCATGTGTTAAGGTTATGATGTATTTCAGCGTCCTGAAAACAAGTATCCCTACTTTTTGTGCGTAGAGTGCAGAACGCACACTAAAAAGATGCTACAGTACTATACCATCAAAAAGTCATCACTTTCATCGGTTTTATCACTTAGAAAATAAAACTTGCGAACACAGTCACAACGAAGCAAATTTGAATTTCAATTAGTGGTACTTATAACTTTTTTAAGCCAATATAATGTTTCTTCGATGCACTGATAATTTGCATGGGGTAAAAATTAGCCAGAGACATAATCATGCATGTGTACACACGTACTTTAAGAGCAACTGTTTCTCCTGACGAGTTGTTGGTGGAGAACACCTCACCAAATGTACCCTCCCCAATCTTGACGCATCGTCTCATTTGAAGAGGTGAAAAACACTCCTTCCAGGGCAGCGGACCCTGTTGCCCACACTCAGCGTAGACTTTCTCTGCATCTGACAAATCTGTGTCATACATTAGCTGTGGGGGTTGAAACATTTGAATAGTTATTTGACACTTTTTTTTTGGGGTGCGGATTGGCTCTGTGGTGTCAAAATATGGCAACCCCCCCCCCTTTCATAAGATACCTGACTGATGTTTGTTGGCGTCGGGTTTTTTGAACTCTGCGGTGTGAGCAGCACAAAAGAGGGCTTCTCTGCCTCGAACAAATCTGTGTCACACATTAGCTGTGGGGTTGGAACATTTGCAGTTAGTTGACAAGATTGTTGTATGAGGATTGGCTCTGTGAGGATTTTGTGGTGTCCAAAGACGATGACCCCTTCCTTCATACCTGACTGACATCGGCTTGCATCGGCTTTTTTGAACTCTGCGGTGTGAGCAGCACTACAGAAGGCCCAAAGAGAGCAGTTTAAGGTTAAAGGAAAAGAAATGAGTACAAGTACACAAGTTGGGTTTCATAGGCACACATGAGCTGTACTTTTGCGGTGAATGGAGAGGGCGGATTTAAGCCGATTCCAGCGCTGTGTGGACGGCGTGTGGTCGACCAGCAGCGAGGATAGGTTAAGGGGACACGTCTTCACTGGGGTGGTGCAATTCGACGTACGCCCCAGGAGCCCCTGCACATCAGGACAGATTGCCAAGTCAGTCACTGAAGAAACAGCATCATCTCTACGCATTTTTAAAACAGAGCTGCTGACCTATTGATCCCATGAGGAGCCTACCCATCTGATGTGCCATCAGCAGTGTTGGGAAAGTTCATCTTCTACGCGAACTAGTTCAAGGTGCAGCTCACACAATTTAAAATGAACCAGTTTAGTTCAAAAGAAATTGTTGAACTAAGTTCATCATTCCAAATCTACCGGCACTTCAAAGTTGTTTTCAGTATTGAGATCAAGGCAATATTCATAAAAAAATATGATTTTTTTTCCCAAAAAGGTCTTGTTTTGTTAACTTTATAGTCAAATGGGTTTCTTCCTTTTTGTCACGTCGGCACACTTTTGTTTACTCATAAATCATTCTGATTTATTTCTGGTCTTGTACGATGAGGTTACAGTGTCACTTATTTTTTATTTTATTGTTGATTTATTTAACTCTCATTAAGACAAAATGCGTTATTTGAATATATAATTGTAGTGCACGTGTGTACACAGGTCTCTCAATGATGACGAAAGGCTGAAATTCAGATATATTTTGAAACGTGGTTGTTATCAAGTCATGCTCACCAGCAGTCCACTGGGTTGAGCCAAGATCAGATCGTTGATGGTGCAGTCGGCAGGCCTCCCTGTACTATTCCTCTTGAACACATGCGGCGCTTGCGATCGACTGTCATTTTTCCAGCGGCTCACGCTCAGACCACTGACACATGCCTTACGGGTGGTACCTGGCCGCCTCGTTAAAATGCCCTTTCTCATCTTCTTGTTTTTACCAAAAGCTTTTTGGTCAACTTTAGGGCCTTTTTTGGAGGCTTTTTCTTCCGAGGCCACAAGGCTGAAAGAACTAGGCGAGCCCTTTTCCACAACTTTGCATGAAATCTTTTCAGAATGTTCAGAGTCCGTTTTATTCTGGCGCTTGTTTCTTGTCAGGTCCTCGTTGGTAAAATCGGAACAATTTGAGGAAGATTGACACTTTCTACCTTTTTGCTGCAGCTCCTTCAGTTGTGTAAAAGCCAGTCTCTCGACTCTTAATGCAAGTTTGTCAGTTAGGCATTCTTGGATCAGTGCCTCTGAGAGGCTTTCTGCCCTGCATGATGTGTCAACAGTGTTGTCACTTGATCGTGCTACAGACAATCTTTTGGAGATTGCTCTTTGAATTTCCTCCAACCTCAATCGTTCAACCCGAACTTTGCAGCGTTTTCCTTGAAATGTACCATCTGCATCCTGTTCCGTTGCTGACATTTGCCCAGGAAAGCTGGTTGCTAATTGCGCACAAGTGAAAAATTCAAAGCTGCTGCCAGTGTGCTGGGTGGATTCAGCGTGTGCTGATGTTGACACCTCCTTGAAATCACTTTCTGCTGACAGTGATGGTGACAGTGCAAGGCTGATGGAAATATTTGAAGTTTCAGACTCCGGCCCATTCCCTGTGTTTGACCGCTCGCAGGTTTCATCTTTAGTGGTACCTAAACTAGACTTGTAAAAAACTTCTGGTGGTAACATATTATCCAGGGAAATCGAATGATGCTGGGCAGGTGGTCCTCTGTGATCTGAGCTAAGATCAGTAAGGCAGGAGGAGTAGGTGCTCTGGCTGCAAAGTTGACTAAGAGTCAGGCTGTTTAATCTCTTCAATCTCACAGTGCAGCGCTGGGCCAAACACATCTCCTTCAGAACTTCAGTCAGTGAGAGTAAGTCTTCCCCTGTGGGCACTAAACAGCTGTCGCTTTCGCTGTCTGGAGCGAGCAGATGGAGGCTTGCCGACGCCCCACCATATTTCATCTTGCCGTCTTGACTACTCTTGTTCATACTTTTTGGGTGTATAAAAAGGTCTTTTGAATGTCCTTCGTGGAAAGGCGGGCATGCTTGTTCATTCAGCTCACACAGGCTTGTCTTTCGCTTCTTGTTGGAATTTAGTCCTATGGGTGGTGAAGAACAAGGCTGCCTTGGAGAGTCCTGGTCTTCTTGGCATGCACTTGCACCTATGCGGCTGATGGACAAGGATGTGGGGTTCGGGGACTGAATAGTGATGGGAAACGGAACAATATGGGGACGTTTGCTTGACAGTCTAACTGAAGGTGTAGAGCAAAAGATGGGCTTCCTGGGGCGCGGCCCAAGGCTGTGATCTGATGAATGATTTAGGAGCAAGGGATCCGTATCCAGGTTGCTGGTGGAATTCTCCACACTTGATTCCAGCATTGCCAGAGGGACTCTCTTCTTCTTGTGAGAAAAACAGACTTGGCTTTCCTCTCCAGAAGTAAAGTCTTCCAAGGATGTGAAGACATTGCCTTTTGCCTTTGAGACTTTCACTTTCGTGGTGACGGGGCAGCGAGGGCGACAAGTCACAAACCGGGCCTTTGAAAGATGAGGAAGACTGTGGAAAATGGAAGGAGAGATGACCCAAAACATTTTTCAACACTTGGCATTTAGCATGAGAGAAGGAACATGCAGACAAGGGATAGGCATTTTGAGTCAATTCATCGACCACAAGCAATTCTGTTGAGCGCACGCACACCCACACCCACTTTTTCATAGTTGTGTTGATCTCCTATTAAGGGTTAAATATTGCATTGCAAAATAAAATGACTCAAATTCAACCTTTTTTTTCACCACGCCCCTATTCGGAATTTATGAATAAAATCAACAAATATTGAAATCAACTGATATGAAATACTTACATTGTGACACAAGGACTTACTTGGAAGTAGTATTGATGTGAAGTGGCTTTGTGTGGCTTTTTGGAGAAGATGACAGATCTTCGTCACTGGAGCTGTTCATCGGACAATGCTGCTTCTTCCGTCTTATTGTGACCCCTGTTCTGACTGACAGAGGTGCTTGTTTCCTGCTGATGCGTTAATTAGGATGAGGTCAGAAATAGAAAACCACTGCCAATCTTTCAAAGAAACAAAACTACGGGTAGTAACCACACAGTTTGATATATGGAGCATTTTCTGTATTAGGCCAATGTGTTCACACTAAGTTGTTAACAGTTATAATTATGTAAGTGCAAAAGTACTTTCTGAGTACAACAGTGAACACGTTTTTTTTTCTTTCATGGAACCTATCCTCAGCTACCTGCTGAAAAACACGCCCATTTTTGTGTCTTTTTTGTGACGCCACGAGTTGCCGCGATATGGTACCAAAACCTGGCAAATAAGAAAGTAGTAACTGGTAAGTACAAAGAAGAAAACTTGACTGGGAGACTAAAATCTTGGTACAGTGTGGAGGGACTATGTTTATCCTGGGTCCTTATGGAGGAAGTTATGGAGAGGTTATGCTGCATGTGCATGTTTGGCCTGTGCTATACATGCCCCCCCCCCCAGCACCCATTAATCTAGTCATTTCTAAACCATCTACTTTGTATATTTAAGAGTCATGTAAAATGAGTGGGTTTCATTCATTATTCCCAGGTATCAGTCAGCTGAATACCATGGGATGACTGTGGCTTGACAATGAGAAGAAACTGTATTGTAATTCAATTTAAAGCATCCTCCACACATATACTATGTAGGTCAAACAGGATTATGTGGAAGAGTGAGAGGGTTTAGCAGTCAGGATTTCCCCGCCTTGCTCAAGGGTAACTCAGTTCATGTGCTTAGGAATTGGAACCGGCTTGCCCTAACAGGCCCTCCAAAATTTCTTCTAATGAGCATCTGACTAAATGTGAGGCAAAGTTGGAGCGGATTGTGTCAATGGGTGTGTTGATACACGCACCTGGTTACCCTGTCCCGTGGAGCAGGCTCAGGGCAGGAGGGGAGGGGCACTCTGAAAATGTCCTCCTCATTAGTAATGTTCTCTTTTGCTTTCCTCCTTGTTGCACGGATCTTCTTTGCCTTGGAAGAACTTTTCGTTGCTCTAAAAATTAAAAAGCAGTTTCCAGTTGCATTTGAACAGCTTCTACTCAGGCTCTTCACCAAACCAATTGCAAATGTCACTGCGAATGTTTTTATCGCATAATACTTCACTGCTCAGACTGTTGTTGAACTTGACTGCATCCTAAAAAGAAGACATATTGATGTTGCACTTTCCTAAAAGTCATCAAAAGTGTTGCAGACAAGAGCCCGATGCGTTTGAGACTGGGTTTACAGACAACTGAGCACTGATGGGAAGTCACAAAGCAGCCCAACAAGAGACGAGATTGCAGAAAACAGGAAGGAGAGATGAGCCAACATACAATTCTGCCTTTTTTTTTTTAGCAGATAATAAAAGGAAAATGCAGACAAGGGTGGACTTAATACATGGGCGAGATTGATATTATTATTTTTTTTAGGCCAAAGCAGATTGCAATATTTGCTAGGGAAAAAAAATACAGAGCACTAGTTGGCTACAACCAGGCGCGGTTGATTTGGTTTCAAATAGGTGGCGGTCCAAAGATGAACAACAAGACATCAGCTATAGGAAGCTGTGTTGAGATAGCATAACTCCTTTGAGCAGCATTTTTCTGCTCTAACAACACCGGCATGGAAAAAGGAATTCAAAATCTTCAGAATGTTTCTCTAAATACATTAAAATACGTGTGTTACTTTTCTTCGTCGGAAAACAGTGACTTACTTGGAAGTTGCATTGATTTGCGGTGGATTTTTCTGACTTTTCACAGAAAATGACATATCTTCCTCGCTCTCGCTGATAATCAGACGACACCTCTTGTTATTTCTTGTCATGACTGCTGCTGCGACTGAGATAGGTTTTCTTTTCCTGCATCAAGAAAGATCAGGTCAGAAAGTGTGTGGACAGAAAATATCCACCAGGCAATGAATTAAATTACCAAAACTATAGCAGTACCAGTCACCACACAATTTCAATCAAATTATATTTTCCCAAATTTTCAAATATCCCAAGCATTTTTGGAGGTTCTCAGAATTTATCAGTGCAGTATTAGTCTAATGCAAAGATCACCAACCTTTTTGAAACTGAGAACCCTCATAACTACTTCATGGCCTGAAATGAAAACAGGTTTGAAACCCCTGTACCAGGTGTCACCAACTTGAGTGCCGTCATCGCTGTAACTTAACTCGCTGTGTGTATGAACTCAATGTTAAAAAAAAAATTGAATCAGAGATTTTAAAAAAAACAGCATGAAAGGTCTTGGATAGGATATGTCCACAGACGCCACTCAGGAAGCAGACAAACAACAGAAAGTGAAAGAATCTTAAAAAATAATCTTAAGAACTACGATGAATTATGACTACAATCCAGCCGGAGATACCAGATAGGTACCGCTGAGCAATACACAATCTTTTTAGTTCCTCACTTATTTACACCCGACTGTGTGCAGTGAGAAATCATCATCGTGGGTGCAGGAGGAAATGTTGCAATTTTAATTATTTGTCTTTGTGCAACGGCTCATCATAATGTCATACGTTTTGTGACACTTTTTGTTTAATGTTGTGCGGCGAGATCGTTTCTATTTCCGTAGTTATTGTTGGGGGCAAAGAATACACACTTCATTATAAATAAATAGGATGCATTATTATTATTATTACTATGAGTAAGTCACTAAAGGTTGAAAACTGAATTAAAGTCATCGTCGTCTTTTGGTTTGTTTACCTGGCTTTGATGTATTTGGCGTGTTCAAACAAGGAATCATCTGAAGACGTGGAGCTATTGAAGGCCTGCTTGTGCTCCTTCGGTGAAATCCAGGCCGTCAATTTGCGTTTTTTCTTCCCGTAAGTCCTCATAAATATTGGCTTCACTGTGGCCATTTTGAGTAAAATGTTTTACTTGTGACCATTTGCTTGTATTCCGAGATATTGTTAGCTTTCGTCGCTAACTCATTTTGTCGCGGTACCCGCTCCTTGTTCAACTTCAAATTGTATCATCCGGTTGATTGGTCGATAAAGTGTAACGCCATCTCTGCAGCGCCGCATGTTGTATTGGAGGAACTGCAATTGAACGAGTGAAGCGCGCCTCATAATATTTTTATGTATTTTTTTTGGGGAGGTGATGAAAATTTCTTAACTTAAAATATCAAAATCCATCCATCTATCGATTATTTTAACGCTCCGAAAAATTATTGGTTGTTGTAGTTCACATCAGGAAAGACTAATCTGACATTTTGGCCGTGACACACTTGAGCAATAGCCACTAGATGTCAACAGAAGACAGGATTATAGTTGAGCACGCTTACCTGAGCATCTCAAGCAAATTGAACTACTGAAACAATGTACAGTATACAATACTGAACAGAATAAATTTTTCCAGGATGTTATAATTCAGTGATTCTCAGTGTTTTAATGGTACGGTTTCTTTCAGTACAGGAAGAATCAGGTTTTAATGAATTTTTAATGAAGAACAGTCCTTTTTTTGTACACGTCAGTTGCATTGAACTGTTAAATACAACACTGTACAGTTGCAAAAAAAAAAACAAAAAAAAACACTGTACAGTTGCTTTTAGTTTTTAAAACTGTTTTATATTTATTTACAATTTTTATTTACCTTCGATGTGATACGTCTTAAATTAATCATCATCACATTACACTTTTCCTTTTCTTATCTTTAAGTGCAGTGTGAATGTTCGAGCCGTGCATAATGGTACAGTGGCCTAAAATAATTGAATACACTTTTTAGGCATTAAATCTCTGTCTTATTTTTTGATAACACATAGGCTTCCATGCAAAATGTTGGTTGTAATGGTGGTCCTTGGAAAGTGAAGATTTTTATGGAAATGGTACCAGACATTAGAAGTTTGAAAATCCTGGTTCAAATTAATTATGGTGTGACTGTTTATAAGATAAGATAAGATAAGATAAGATATCCAGTGTGGGACAAATAAAGGATATCTTATCTTATCTTATCTTATTTATCTGATTGTATACACCGCATTTAATGTTGAGATCAATTTTCAATGTTATAAGTAAAATGTATGAACACACTATGAGAATCATATCATGTATTCTAGAGGAAATTTTAATTAAAGAGTTTATCAGTAACACATGTTGCTTGTTTGGGCCTTTTTATTGACCCATTTCGCACTGATCCAAATGGTCCTTGCCGTCACGCCAAAGTTGACTCCATAATCCACGTTTCAAGTAATCGGTAATTGCTTTGTGGTTTGGCACACTCAGCACACACTTATGTTTTGCCAATTGTTTTTGAAGCGGATGCACGGCCTCCACTTTGTTGAATTGCATTCTGCCTTTTGCAACCACCATTTGCTCAGCAATCGTGGCCATCATCTTGCACAGACCTCAGCCACTTGTAAGCAAATAATCAGATGTTATCACACAGCAAAAGTGTTCTGCTTCTACAGCAGACATTCCCTTGTTTGATCATAATCTTAAGGAAGGATTCTAAGGACTTTGTCTAGCTCAGTAAATGAGAGATTTTTCTCAAATTTCCACTTTTTAGTTGACAAACAAAATCTTTGCAGTACAGTACATGGATGTGGAGGTCTTCATGACTGGGCTTTCCTTGGACCCCGAAAGGACAAATACGAATCAGAAAATGGATAGAAGGAGATTAGGTAGGAATTGGCATTTTGAAAAAAAAATTCTATATTTCATAAATATACAGATATATAATATTTTTATTCACTTTGGAATTTATCAACCAAAAAGAGAATTAACTTTTAAACAATGTTCTAATTAACTGGTTGCACCTGTAGTAAAACTTACATGGGTATGTTTTGTACATAAGTGTTCATTTGACAATTTCCTTGTGGTGTCAGGCCAAACTGAATTAATGGCATTGCAGTACATGCTAGTAACAATTTCTACTGGTGAATATTAGACTGCAGTTTCTGAGCTGCAAAGCTACACTCAATAAACGTTTTTTTTAGGATAATATCCCAGTATTATTATAAGCAGAGTTTTATCTTTACTAATCAAAGTACAAATGCAGAACTTTGTTACTGTACTCCTGTATTTTTTTCCAGGTATCTGTGCTTTTCTTGTGTATTTGTTTTAAATAAGAATACTTATTGAAAATAACGAAAATAAAGTAGTGGCACAAGGACGCACAACCTCTTAAAACTGGGATTTGGCTGTGTTCAGAATTTACCATTCATATTCATACTCATGTAAAATGGGAGTCAGCATACATCTGCCACCATTTAAAGTGTCTCTGTTTAACCCCCAGTCAAAGTTCAGTTGGTCGAGTAGGCTTTTCCTGGCATGCTTTTGCTTTCTGATAGCTATTTCAAATTACTTCCATGTTGTCTCGGGCCACAGTTCCAGTTTAAGATTAACAACCCCAAAGGAGAATCCTGCCATCACTAAGCTTCCCCAAAGGTTTGCTGTTCTTTTCGCGAAGAGCGCTGTTGTTTTCGCCAAACATACCTTTTGCGATGAAGGTCAAAAAGTTCGACCTTGCTTTTATTGGATTGTACCACATTTTCTCACATATGTTTGGGAGATTTGGTTTGGATTGCTTAATCCTTTGAGCACACACATTGTGCACAATAATGGTGGAACAAGTTTAGAAATTATTTGCCATGTTTTTTTTTTTTTCGCAAAAACCTGCCATTTGAACAGGAGTGTGGAGACTTTCCATATCCACTGTGTGGCAATTAAAAAATGGGGAGGAGTCTTTGCTATTTTTGCTTCCGGAGCAGAGTCCCCCGGTTCCCTCTAACGGGAAAGAGCGAAGGAAAAGAGCAATAGGCGGAGAGGAACCGGAGGGGAGGAGAGCCCAGAGCTGGAGCGGGAGAGCAGCGAGACGGACGTAAACGTTGAGAGGTGAGTGACGAATTGGTGCTTTAACCGCGGCAGACTGGTGTCGTTCTCTTCTCTTTTGGATACAGTTTGTTCTGAAATATATAGAGGCGAGGGGGAGTGGGATCGTCGCCCGAGCACCGATTTTGTTTTGCCTCCGAAAGGCCCGCCGTGCTGCGGTCGGACCGGTCGCGGCCGAGAGTCGGGAAGCTGGAGCCTCAGATGGGGCGTTCACGGACCCCGATAGTGATTTATTTTTTTCTCACTGACAACTGTGTTTTAGTTTTTCCCCTTTCGAACAAGCGATGAATACACCTGCACTCTTCCGTTATATGCACGCAAAGGGCGCTTAAATGACCATTAACTTGTTGTATTTGAGAAGTGCACGTTAAGCATTTATCTGACATCATAATCAACGAGCGGCTGATGCTAGCTATGAGTCGAACTTTACAGTTTACGCGGATCAAATCCCCCCATAGATCCTGGAAGCTTGTCATGTTCATATTATGTTTGCTCAATCATTCACTCTATGAAGACAAAAATAAACGAAGCTATGTGGCTTAATCCTTTCCAAGCATGTGGCATTAGTTTTTAATTGTTGTATTGCCTGTTTTAACACTCATCATGATCTAAATTATAAATATGAATATATATTGTCTATAGTAACTCTGGCGTTGGACGGAACCTTCAATGTCACAGTTGGTAAATTTCAGATTTTTTTTTTCCAAATCGAGAATACTTGCAAATCCACATGTGTGGGTGTTATTTTTTTATTTTATTTTTTTTACAAATAATTAACATATCTAAATTGTTGAAAATAGGTTCTGCCTTTGACAATGCGCTATTAATGATTGAACACACGTTTTGGGTGGGTCTCCTGCAAAGTGATGATTTTCGAGGTCCAAGCATTCCGCCCAATGCTCGAGATATAATATAAATGTATGGGATGGTGGCAGCACGATGATTGCCTGGGCAGCACACCCACCTCGCAGTACAGAGGTTTGGGTTCGAATCTGGCCTCCAGCTTACCTGTGTGGAGTTTGCATGTTCTTGTTTCTCCGTACTCCGGTTTCCAAACACGTTCCCAAAACATGCATTCAGGTTAATTGAAGACTCTATATTATCCATAGGTTTGAATTCAAGTGTGGATGATGTTTTGTCTGGTGTACCCTGACTCTCACCCAAAGTCAGTTGGAATGGGCTCCAGCACACATCTAGTGGTTGTCATCCAGAGAGTGTGCAGCGTCTGTCTTGTCCCACGTACGACTCTTGTGTCAGTGCAAACAAGGTCTTTGTGAAACAGACATACAAAGTAGGACATTCTTTTGACTTTGCTCACATTGTTGTGTTCAGTCTTCAGGCGCTTGTATTGCTGCGTTGTGCTGGCTGGACTGGACTGGACATTGCCAGCAATAATTGTTCCCAGCCTATCTCCGGCATCTTGGCCCTTGAAAGAATACATATTATGCTTTTTTTACTTGTCCAAACATGGAGCCACTTACTTCGCATTCATACACTCACACACACACACACACACACACACACACACACACACACACACACACACACGCACACAATAGTTTCCCGAGTTCCTATGTGTTGCCTTCACATTTCCAAAAAGGAAATACTGGGAGTGCAAGGATGAGATCATCACCTAGTTGTGTTATAGGAAAGGCTCTCCACAGTGCTATACTGTATATGCTCCACGGGCCAGAGAGATTGCCACGCTAGTTGTCATAATGTAATAGGGCCAGTAAAAAAAACTTCGAAATACTGACTGTACTGCATTATAATTACCGGTACACAAATTCTGTGGAATGATAAATATCGAACATGTTCTTTTACTATATCCTCCATTATCAAAAGGTGGAACAAAAATGTTTATGTGTTCCATTTAATAATTAATGTGGCACTCCCTCTTTTAAATTGGGCTCACACCTTTGACCCCTCCCTTTTTCTCTTGAGGTCCATGGGGAGGTCCATCTTTAGAGCTTGAGAATCTTTTGATTTCACTTCCAAGTTTAGGTATTTTAATACATTCCTATGTCATATCATTTATGAAGGGGCACGCTGTACCACCATAAATGTTAGGAGGACATTGTTTTGCTGTTATCGTCAGGCATGTTGTGTTTATGTGTGTGCCTCTTTTTCTCTTGATGTCCATGGGTAGGGACACGCCGTACCACCATAATTGATGGGAGGATATTGTTTTTGCTGTTATCATCAGGTTTTGTGATTGAGACGATTAAACACACCCAACACAAGAAATCCTGCTGTGTGTTGTCACTATTCTTAAACACAACTCAGTCGGATACCACCGGTTACAATAGGACAAGGGCGATTACATTGTTGACAATCACAAAAATTGCCAAAGGGCCAATCTTGCTTTATTTTTTGGGGTGGGGTGGTGCGCTGAAGTTTTTCCTTTCCGTTCTCTCCTGGTGACATCAGTCTTGTGGTCTTATTTTACATCCAGCACTCATTTCTACATTTTCATTGAAAACGCACATGTCTTCCTTCAGCAGATCCGATTGTTTACTGCGTAGTAAATACAGTCAGTTTTAAGGCTGAGCTGAGGCAAGGATTGGATTGGAGGAATCAAGTTAATGTGTCACTGTCGATGAACTGGTGCACTGTCATCCTTGCAGAACCCCCCGAGCCCGCCTCCTCCATCATTGCCCATTTTGGCTCGCTACAGACCTGCCTGCATAATGTGTGTGTGTGTGTGTGTATGTGTGTGTGTGTGTGTGTGTGTGTGTGTGTGTGTGTGTCCAAATATACCATTATGAAATGCTTTGTGTTTATATCCAATTCTTCTCTCATGTCTTCCTTTTCTTTTAATATGATCATGAAATACACACGCACACACACTGTAACATTTCTGCATCAAGAGTGGCTGTCTTTGGGGCAAAAGAGTGCCTTAGGTATTTACAGGCCACCATTTGTAACAAACACTTCTCACAGCTCTTTTTTGTAGTCTGATAAAAGTGCATCTGTTTCGTAATAACTAACAGTTTTGTGACAGACCTATATGGTACAACACTGCACACAAAAATGGTAAAACGTAATGGTAAAACGTACGCTACAGTAGCTTAAAAAAGAGATAGCATGCATGCACGCTAGCGTATGCTTTTAAAAAGGCAGTGGGCGCAAAACTGAGTTTACAACAATGTACTCATGTTACTTCCTTGTTCAATCCTTACCCACAAATCAATCAGAGTCCTCATTTTCTGTATCCAAAATGAACAGCTGGGCAAGTTTTCCATCAAACAAGCCAGGTTCCTTCGCCTCATTGTAAGAGTCAGTCTCGTTGCCGTGCGGCTCCTCAGAAATGATGCCGACTTTTGCGAAAGCGAGAACAACAGGACAAACAGACACACTAGCCCAAGCATCCACAATCCATTCACAAATTGTGGCATAACTCACCTGGCGCTGCCTTCCAGTCTTAGTAATGCTGTGCTCGGCTCACAACTTCACTTTTACTCCGGCTGGAAACTTTTCTTTCGGCTTTAAAATTAATGTGATTTCTCTGCATTACCCTGGCAATCGAGCACAACAGTTAAATCTGACTTCTCGCACCCTGTTGTGTGTATCGCTACCGTCCTGATCCCCTTCTTCTCTACATTGTGGTCCGCCAGGATGTCGAAACTGAGCGGCACCTCATCCATGTTGGTGATGTGGTTGGGCTGGTTGTGTTTGTTGGCAATCTTTTTGTTGTATTTCATACTACAAAGTATGATTATACCTCATTACTTGCCGTACCCAAGCGGGCAAGTTCGGAGTGTGGGGATTGTTTGATAGAACAGTCGGTAATGGAAACCAAGGGAGACCAGCAAAATAAAGGATTAAAATCTCCAAGAAAGCATCTTTATTTCATGTAACGCAGAACATTACACTTTTTACTGCAGTAGGAGCGGAAGATGGCCAGGTTTTCTTTGGATGTTGCTGCACCATGGTCGTCTTTGCCCAGATGGATAGATGGCGCCGTTTCGTAAAACAAAAGCACCATGGATTAGCTGATCTTGAATTCTCTCATCGCTGCTCGATTCCCATGGTCCTCCGCAAAACTGATAGCTTGCACTTTAAACTGTGCTTCGTAAGCGTGTCTTTTCGTAGGTGCCATTTTTGGGATGTTGTTTTGCACTATTTACTGCTACTGGTGGCGTGCCTTTAGCATCCTCTTTTACGGCCACCCTTCCCACTTGAATGTCCGCATGCTGTCCTAGGATCGGTCCGCCTTTGCTCAATATAAGCAACATGTCGGCACAACATCAATCAGTCAAGTGGACCCTCATCGAAGTCACACAACAACGTTCACAGATTTTGAAACTCGGTGCATACACAAGGCGACCCGCACTATTAGGTGCCCCGTCCATTTTGGAGAAAATTTACAACTTTCTGTGCGTCTTATGATCGTGAAAATACAGTACTTTAAATATGTGCATTTGTGTGTGTGTGTGTGGTTAAGCTTGTGCACCACAGCTGATGAGAAAGCAGTGTGTGCATTTGTGTGTGTGTGTGAGAGCAGTCGGATAAAGAACAGAGATCTGTTATCGCTGCCCCACTTCCTTTGCAAAACAATACGGCTTTCCGCCCTCGACCAAACAAATGTGTAGCTGTGTAGCATGTGCACATGAGTGTGTGTGAAGACACCGACCAGACTGGACAGATATTTGATGAATTCAAGAAAGCAGAGAGTCGACTCTTTGCAAGCTGTCAGCCTGGCAAAATGACCACATTGCAGTTTGTTGGTGCAGTGTGTTTCATTGACTCTCAATAGGCTTATTGTGTTAGCCACTGTTAGCCAGGCCGCAATATATGTGTGTCTGCATTGTTTTTGCAGGGAGCAGACACCCGTGTGGTGTGTTTGAACTGTGGAGGAGCACAGAGGCCCCCCTTCATCCTGCAGGGTGGGACACTAAATGACAGGGCGGTGGGCTGGGGCGGGGGGCATTTTCTACTTCCATCCAGCTAATAGTCTTGTCCGTTCTGTTAATTTTCATCCACTATCTAATCGGTGCATT